GGTGATGGAAAGCGGGAGAATGGGGCTTGGTGATGGGAAAGCGGGAGAATTGGGCGGGATGATGGAAAGCCGGGGAGACATGGGGATGGGGGTGATGGAAAGTTGGAGAATGGGGGCGGGGTGATGGAAAGCGGGAAAATGGGGCGGGCTGATGGTAAGCTGGAGAATGGGGCGGGCTGAGGTTGATGGAAGCGGAAGAATGGGGCGGGGGTGATGGAAATAGGGAGGATGGGGCGGGTGGTGATGGAAAGAGGGAGGCATGGGGCAGGGTGATGGAAATAGGGAGAATGGGGCGGGGTGATGGAAAGAGGGAGACTGGGGCGGGGTGATGGAAAGAGGGAGAATGGGGCGGGGTGATGGAAAGCGGGAGAATGGGGCGGGGTGACGGAAAGCGGGAGAATGGGGCGGGGTGATGGAAAGTGGGAGAATGGAGCGGGGTGATGGAAATAGGGAGAATGGGCCAGGGTGATGGAAAGCGGGAGAACGGGGCGGGGTGGTGGAAAGAGGGAGAATGGGGCGGGGTGATGAAAAGAGGGAGAATGGGACGGGGTGATGGAAAGCGTGAGAATGGGGCGGGGTGATGGAAAGCGGGAGAAGAGGGCGGGGTGATGGAAAGCAGGAGAATGGGGCGGGGTGATGGAAAACGGGAGAATGGGGCGGGGTGATGGAAAGCGGGAGAATGGGGCGGGGTGATCAAAATAGGGAGAATGGGGCGGGGTGATAGAAAGCGGGATAATGGGGCGTGTTGATGGAAAGAGGGGGAATTGGGCGGGGTGATGGAAAGCGGGAGAATGGGGTGGGGTGATGGAAAGCGGGAGAATGGGGCGGGGTGATGGAAAGAGGGAGAATGGAGTGGGGTGATGGAAAGAGGGAGAAAGGGGCGGGTGATGAAAAGAGGGAGAATGGGGCCGGGTGATGGAAAGAGGGAGAATGGGGCGGGGTGATGGAAAGCGGGAGAATGGGGCGGGGTGATGGAAAGCGGGAGAATGGGGCGGGGTGATGGAAAGCGGGAGATTGGGGCGGGGTGATGGAAAGAGGAAGAAAGGGGCGGGGTGATGGAAAGCAGGAGAATGGGGCGAAGTGATTGAAAGCGGGAGAATGGGGCGGGTGATGGAAAGCGGGAGAATGGGGCGGGGTAATGGAAAGCGGAAGAATGGGGCGGGGTGATGGAAAGCGGGAGAATGGGGCGGGGGTGATGGAAAGCGGGAGCATGGGGCGAGGTGAGGGAAAGCTTGAGAATGGGGCGGGGTGATGGAAAGCGGGAGAATGGGTCGGGGTGATTGAAAGCGGGAGAATGGGGCGGGATGATGGAAAGCGGGAAAATGGGGCGGGGTGATGGAGAGAGGGAGAATGGGGCGGGGAGATGGAAAGAGAGAGAATGGGGCGGGGTGATGGAAAGCGGAAGAATGGGGCGGGTTGATGGAAAGCGGTAGAATGGGGCGGGGTGATGGAAAGCGGGAGAATGGGGCGGGGTGATGAAAAGCGTTAGAATGGGTTGGGGAGATGGAAAGCGGAAGAATGGGGCGGGGTGATGGAAAGAGGAAGAAAGGGGCGGGGTGATGGAAAGCGGGAGAATGGGGCGGGATGATGGAAAGTGGGAGAATGGAGCGGGGTGATGGAAATAGGGAGAATGGGCCAGGGTGATGGAAAGCGGGAGAACGGGGCGGGGTGGTGGAAAGAGGGAGAATGGGGCGGGGTGATGAAAAGAGGGAGAATGGGACGGGGTGATGGAAAGCGGGAGAATGGGGCGGGGTGATGGAAAGCGGGAGAAAAGGGCGGGGTGATGGAAAGCAGGAGAATGGGGCGGGGTGATGGAAAACGGGAGAATGGGGCGGGGTGATGGAAAGCGGGATAATGGGGCGGGGTGATCAAAATAGGGAGAATGGGCCAGGGTGATGGAAAGCGGGAGAACGGGGCGGGGTGGTGGAAAGAGGGAGAATGGGGCGGGGTGATGAAAAGAGGGAGAATGGGACGGGGTGATGGAAAGCGGGAGAATGGGGCGGGGTGATGGAAAGCGGGAGAATGGGGCGGGCTGATGGAAAGAGGGAGAATGGGGCGGGGTGATGGAAAGAGGGAGAATGGGGCAGGGTGGTGAAAAGCGGAAGAATGGGGCGGGGTGATGGAAAGAGGGAGAATGGGGCGGGGTGAAGAATAGCGGGAGAATGGGGCGGGTTGATGGAAAGAGGGAGAATGGGGCGGGGTGAATGGGGCGGGGTGATGGAAAGCGGGAGAATGGGGCGGGGTGATGGAAAGCGGGAGAATGGGGCGGGGTGATGGAAAGCGGGAGAATGGGGCGGGGTGATGGAAAGCGGGAGAATGGGGCGGGGTGATGGAAAGCGGGAGAATGGGGGCGGGGTGATGGAAAGCGGGAGAATGGGGCGGGATGATGGAAAGCTGGAGAATGGGGCGGGGTGATGGAAAGCGGGAGAATGGGGCGGGGTGATGGTAAGCTGGAGAATGGGGCAGGGTGATGGAAAGCGGAAGAATGGGGCGGGACACAAGCATGCGTCCGGACACAAGCATGCGACCGGACACAAGCATGCGTCCGGACACAAGCATGCGACCGGACACAAGCATGCGTCTGGACACAAGCATGCGTTCGGACACAAGCATGCGTCCGGACACAAGCATGCGACCGGACACAAGCATGCGTCCGGACACAAGCATGCGACCGGACACAAGCATGCGTCCGGACACAAGCATGCGTCCGGACACAAGCATGCGTCCGGACACAAGCATGCGACCGGACACAAGCATGCGTCCGGACACAAGCATGCGTCCGGACACAAGCATGCGACCGGACTCAAGCATGCGGTCGGACACAAGCATGCGACCGGACACAAGCATGCGTCCGGACAAAAGCATGCGTCCGGACACAAGCATGCGTCGGACACAAGCATTCGTCTGGACACAAGCATGCGTCCGGACACAAGCATGCGACCGGACACAAGCATGCATCCGGACACAAGCATGCGTCCGGACACAAGCATGCGTCCGCACACAAGCATGCGACCGGACTTAAGTATGCGTCCGGACACAAGCATGCGTCCGGACACAAGCATGCGTCCGAACATTAGCATGCGACCGGACACAAGCATGCGTCCGGACACAAGCATGCGTCCGGACACAAGCATGCGTCCGGACACAAGCATGCGTCCGGACACAAGCATGCGTCCGGACACAAGCATGCGACCGGACACAAGCATGCGTCCGGACACAAGCATGCGACCGGACTCAAGCATGCGTCCGGACACAAGCATGCGACCGGACACAAGCATGCGTCCGGACACAAGCATGCGTCCGGACACAAGCATGCGACCGGACTCAAGCATGCGTCCGGACACAAGCATGCGTCCGGACACAAGCATGCGTCCGAACATTAGCATGCGACCGGACACAAGCATGCGTCCGGACACAAGCATGCGTCCGGACACAAGCATGCGTCCGGACACAAGCATGCGACCGGACACAAGCATGCGTCCGGACACAAGCATGCGACTGGACTCAAGCATGCGTCCGGACACAAGCATGCGACCGGACACAAGCATGCGTCCGGACACAAGCATGCGTCCGGACACAAGCATGCGACTCGACTCAAGCATGCGGTCGGACACAAGCATGCGATCGGACACAAGCATGCGTCCGGACACAAGCATGCGTCCGGACCCAAGCATGCGTCCGGACACAAGCATGCGTCCGGACACAAGCATGCGTCCGGACACAAGCATGCGTCCGGACACAAGCATGCGTCCGGACCCAAGCATGCGACCGGACACAAGCATGCGTCCGGACACAAGCATGCGTCCGGACACAAGCATGCGACCGGATTCAAGCATGCGGTCTGGTCCAAGAGCTTGCCTGGTCCAAGAGCTTGCCTAGTCCAGGAGCTGGACTGGTCCAAGAGCTTGCCTGGTCCAAGAGCTTGCCTGGTCCAGGAGCTTGCTTGGTCCATGAGCTTGCCTAGTTCAGGAGCATGCTTGGTCCAGAAGCTTGCATGGTCCAAGAGCTTGCCTGGTCCAGGAGTGTGCGTGGTCCAAGAGCTTGCGTGGTCCAGGAGCTTACCTGGTCCAGGAGCGTGCCTGGTCCATGAGCGTGCCTGGTCCAGGAGCTTGCCTGGTCCAGCAGCTTGCCTGGTCCATGAGCTTGCCTGGTCCACGAGCTTGCCTGGTCTAGGAGCTTGCCTGGTCCAGGAGTTTGTCTGGTCCAAGAGCTTGCTTGGTCTAGAAGCGTGCCTGGTCCAAGAGCTTGCGCGTTCGAGGAGCGTGCCTGGTCCAAGAGCTTGCGTAGTCCAGGAGCTTGCCTGGTCCTGGAGCTTGCCTGGTCCAGGAGCATGCCTGGTCCACGAGCTTGCCTGGTCCAAGATCGTGCCTGGTCCATCAGCGTGCCTGGTCCAGGAGCTTGCGTGGTCCAGGAGCTTGCTTGATCCAGGAGCTTTCCTGGTCCAAGAGCTTGCCTGGTCCAGGAGCGTGCCTGGTCCAGGAGCTTGCCTAGTCCAGGAGCGTGCGGGTCCACGAACGTGCTTGGTCCAAGAGCTTGCCTAGTCTAGGAACTGGCCTGGTCCAAGAGCTTGCCTGGTCCTAGAGCTTGCCTGGTCCAGGAGCTTGCCTGGTCCAGGAGCTTGCCTTGTTCAGGAGCTTGCTTGGTCCAGAAGCTTGTCTGGTCCAAGAGCTTGCCTGTTCCAGGAGCGTGCATTGTCCAAGAGCTTGCGTGGTCCAGGAGCTTGCTTGGTCCAGGAGCGTGCCTGGTCCACGAGCGTGCCAGGTCCAGGAGCTTGCCTGGTCCAGGAGCTTGCTTGGTCTAGGAGCATGCCTTGTCCAGGAGCTTGCCTGGTCTAGGAGCGTGCCTTGTCCACGAGCCTGCGTGGTCCAAGAGCTTGCCTGGTCCATGAACGTGCCTTGTCTACGAGCGTGCCTGGTCCAAGAGCTTGCGTGGTCCAGGAGCTTGCTTGGTCCAGGAACTTGCCTAATCCAGGAGCTTGCCTGGTCTAGGAGCTTGCCTGGTCCAGGAGCTTGCCTGGTCCAGGAGCGTGCCTGGTCCAGGAGCTTGCCTGGTCCAAGAGCTTGCTTGGTCCAGAAGCGTGCCTAGTCCAAGAGCTTGCTTGGTCCTGGAGCGTAACTAGTCCAAGAGCTTGCGTAGTCCAGGAGCTTGCCTTGTCCAGGATTTTGCCTTGTCCAGGAGCTTGCCTTGTCCACGAGCTTACCTGGTCCAGGAGCTTGTCTCGTCCAAGAACTTGCTTGGTCCAGAAGCATGCCTGGCCAAAGAGCTTGCCTGGTCCAGAAGCGTGCCTGGTCCAGAAGCGTGCCTGGTCCAAGAGCTTGTGTGGTCCAGGAGCTTGCCTGGTCCGGGAGCGTGCCTGGTCCACGAGCTTGCCTGGTCCAGGAGCGTGCCTGGTCCACGAGCATGCCTGGTCCAGAAGCTTGCGTGGTCCAGGAGCTTGCCTGATACAGGAGCTTTCCTGGTCCAAGAGCATGCCTCGTCCACGAGCCTACCTGGTCCAAGAGCTTGCCTAGTCCAGGATCGTGCGGGTCCACGAGCGTGCCTGGTCCAAGAGCTTGCCTAGTCTAGGAGCTGGCCTGGTCCAAGAGCTTGCCTGGTCCAAGAGCTTGCCTGGTCCAGGAGCTTGCCTGGTCCAGAAGCTTGCCTGGTTCAGGAGCTTGCTTGGTCCAGAAGCTTGCCTGGTCCAAGAGCTTGCCTGGTCCAGGAGCGTGCCTTGTCCAAGAGCTTGCGTGGTCCAGTAGCTTGCGTGGTCCAGGAGCTTGCCATGTCCAGGAGCTTGCTTGGTCCAGGTACGTGCCTGGTCCACGAGCTTGCCTGGTCTAGGAGCGTGCCTGGTCCACGAGCCTGCCTGGTCCAAGAGCTTGCCTGGTCCATGAGCGCGCCTTGTCTACGAGCGTGCCTAGTCCAGGAGCTCGCCTGGTCCAGGAGCTTGCGTGGTCCAGGAGCTTGCTTGGTCCAGGAACTTGCCTGATTTAGGAGCTTGCCTGGTCTAGGAGCTTGCCTGGTCAAGGAGGTTGCCTGGTCCAAGAGCTTGCCTGGTCCAGGAGCGTGCCTGGTCCAGGAGCTTGCCTCGTCTAGGAGCGTGCCTGGTCCACAAGTCTGCCTGGTCCAAGAGCTTGCCTGGTCCATGAGCGTGCCTTGTCTATGAGCGTGCCTGGTCCAAGAGCTTGCCTGGTCTAGGAGCTTGCGTGGTCCACGAGCTTGCCCGGTCTAGGAACTTGCGTGGTCCAGGAGCTTGCCTGGTCCAGGAGCTTGTCTGGTCCATGAGCTTGCCTGGTCCAGGAGCGTGCCTGGTCTAGGAGCTTGCCTGGTTGAGGAGCTTGCTTGGTCCAAAAGCGTGCCTGGTTCAAGAGCTTGCTTGGTCCAGGAGCGTATCTGTTCCAAGAGCTTGCGTGGTCCAGGAGCTTGCCTTGTCCAAGAGCTTACCTGGTCTAGGAGCGTGCCTAGTCTACGAGCGTGCCTGGTCCAAGAGCTTGCCTAGTCCAAGAGCTTGCCTGGTCCTGGAGCTTGCCTGGTCCAGGAGCTTGCCTGGTCCAGGAGCGTGCCTGGTCCACGAGTCTGCCTGGTCCAAGAGCTTGCCTGGTCCAAGAGTGTGCCTAGTCCACGAGCATGCCTGGTCCAGGAGCTTGCTTGGTCCAGGAGCTTGCCTAGTCCAGGAGCTTGCCTGGTCCAAGAGCTTGCCTGGTGTAGTAGCTTGCCTGATCTAGGAGCTTGCCTGGTCCAGGAGCTTGTGTGGTCCAGGAGCTTGCATGGTCCAGAAGCTTTCTTGGTCCAAGAGCTTGCTTGGTCCACGAGCATGCCTGGTCCAAGAGCTTGCGTGTTCCAGGAGCTTGCCTAGTCCAGGAGCTTGCCTGGTCTAGGAGCTAGCCTGGTCAAGGAGCTTGCCTGGACCAGGAGCTTGCCTGGTCGAGGAGCTTGCATGGTCTAGGAGCTTCCTTGGTCCAGAAGCTTGCCTGGTCTAGGAGCGTGCCTGGTCCAGGAGCTAGCCTAGTCCAGGAGCTTGCCTAGTCCAGGAGCTTGCCTTGTCCATGGGAGTGCGTGGTGTAGGAGTGTGCCTGGTCTAGGAGCTTGCTTGGTCCAGAAGCCTGCGTGGTCCAAAAGCTTGCGTGGTCTAGGAGCGCGCCTTGTCCAAGAGCTTGCCTAGTCTAGGAGCTTGCCTAGTCCAGGAGTGTGTCTTGTCCAGGAGCTTGCCTGGTCAAGGAGCTTGCCTGGTCCAGGAGCTTGCCTGGTCCAAGAGCTTGCATGGTCCACGAGCCTGCTGTTATAGTCACAGTAGGCTCCAATGTGCCTAAAACGAAAGATAGAGTGCACAGTCGGATTTCTGCACAGCGGCTTCAAACGTTCATAGCGTTTTGGTCACAGCTTTAAATGACTTGATTCAACTTGGATCTGGAGCGCCTTATTGTCGCCTACAATAGGCAATTTAGATCGCACGATTTCACCAAGTATTGACGACACAGGGTTGGTTTGAACGAACGGCACTATGGCAGCCACTATGGTCTTAGAACACAAGATGGGAAGAGATATGAAGAGTTACGAGTTGGGAATGACTCCCAGCTCCTACAAACCCCAAGAGCCGAGGTACAGTGATGTGGAACAGTGCCACACTGTCCCCAACCACGAAGGGTCTCGAAACTACCCTTCACTAGGGCCTACACCAAGTGAAATGTTACACTACACAAAGTAATGTAACTATCTTCAATATCTTGAGGTGTACCCTTTTGGCGAGCTTCGAAATCACTTGAGGCTTGACACCAAGGCTCGGGCTCTTCATCACAAACTCATCCTTGACTTCTTGATGGGTCTGTTGCACACACCTGCGACACACCGAACGTTCGACACAGGACAAAATAGAAACCGCGCACGACAAAATAGAAACCGCGTGCGAGACACAAACGACCGCGTAACACGCGTCTAGCGATAACTCGCTATTGACTCAACACACACACTCGACATCATGACTCAACATTCATACACAATTATAAGCATGAAATATATATTATCCCATGCCCTCATACCATTCCATACACACACACATGCATGCACACGGACAACAAGCCGAGTGCAAACCATAGGGTTGCACCAACAAACTCCCCCTCGGATTGTTGGCCTTAGGATATGTTGCTCTCTCAGTTCAGAGCCATCCCAGCCAGCTTGCAACACTTCCAATGCTGCTGCTCCACCAGCCTCTTGGTCATCATGTCAGCCGGCTGCCCCGTGGTCTTCACGTACCGCAACTCAACTTCACCCGCGGTCACCATGCTCCTTGTCCAATGCCACTTCACCCTCATGTGCTTTGTGAGTCCATGCAACACAGGGTTCTTAGCAAGAGCAATGGCACCCTGGCTGTCACAGTAGAGTGGGGTAGGTCCTTGCTGCTCCTCCCCCAATTCAGCCAACAAACGCCGCTGCCACACAATCTCCCGTACGGCACGGAAGAGTGCCATGTATTCGGACTCCACCGAGCTCAAAGCTTGGTCAACCTGCTTCTTGCTCTCCCAAGCAGTTGGGCCTCCACCAACACAGCATATGAAGCCTCCCACACTTGTCATGTCCTCTGGTTCTGATGCATATGAATTATCCGAGTAGGCGGTGAGGAACAAACGCCCGGGTTCAACACCATCCACGCCCTTTTGGCGCCTTTGTGCCGCCGCCGAGTATTGCAGCCCAACGGTCGCTGTTTGGCCAAGATACTTGGACACCCTCATTCCAGCTGCTACCTGCTCCTCATTAGGGCATTGCACAACCCTAGCCAGCTGCCCGGTAGCAAACGCGACGTCCGGTCGGGTGTTTACCGCCGCATACATGAGGCTGCCCACCAACGAGTGAAATCGGCGCCTCTCCTCTTCTCCAACGCTCTCCTCCTCTGGCCCCTTCACACACTTGAACCCAGAGGGAAAGGGAGTAGCCACATGACCTTCACTCTGGCCGAAGTTGGCAGCCAACGCCTCCAGGTACTTCCGCTGGTGCACTCGCATGCTCCGCTTCTCCACGTCTCGTTCGATGTGGAGCCCAAGGTAGAAGTTCACGTCGCCAAGGGACTTGCACTTGAACTTGTCATGCAGCTTCAGCATCACCTCCTTCACAAGGTCAGAGGAGGGTGAGAATATGAGAATGTCATCCACATAAACCACCATGAAGC